AACCCAACCTAACCTAACCCAACCTAACCTAACCTAACCCAAACCAACCCAACCTAACCTAACCTAACATAACCTATCCTAATCAGATGTAAACGAACCTAACCAGACCCAATCTATCTCAAACTAACTTGACGTAAGCTAACTTAAGTCTGCTGAACGTAACTGAACCTAACGTAATTTGGCAGAGTTGGGTACGCAAGTCGCCCGAATCTTGCAAGTTTTTCGGGTCGTCAGGTCGGTACGATTACGCAAGTCGCCGTGGACGTGCAGGTGGCCTCGGTACTCTTTATCAAGTAAGTCCGCACTGCGAAGAAATTAATTAACCAATTCAAATTTGACATCGTTGAAGCTGTGAGTTATGGGAAGCATTATGGAGTGGAGGTAATGCTCCACGTATTCTTAATCTAGGCACTAGATTTAGGAAAGTGACCCTGGAGCCTGTGTGGTCGCGGTGGTAAAGTGAAAATATGTCTTTCCCGGACTTTATAACAGCGTCTTTCCTGGCGCGTAGAATTATAATTTATCCTTATTTTATTTCGTTAAACATCAACGAAAATTTCAACTAGAAGTTGTGTCAATTTTTAAAACCCAGCTTCATATTAATATTTACTGAATACTTTAAGACTGAATAACTGGGCATTTTGCCCTCTGATTATTTTTAAAGACTTCGTTTTATTATCGTATTAAATTGATTATTTTGTTAAACTGTATTATTAATTTTATGATTGTCATGTGATTTCTTTGAGGTAAGAACTTTATGTTTAAATAATATTTTGACGAAATTCAGCTTCAGTTTTGTTACTGTTAAAAAGCAATTCTGTCGTTGTACAACTTCAAGACTTTCGGAGGGAGTTTGGGTAACGTAAGGCTCACTTATTGTTTAATTTTATAATAAATTTTTACTGAATGATGAGTGTGACGCTCAGGAGACTTTACCCAGCTTTTATAGGGACTTTATGGGCCCCAGAATCAGTCTGGCTCTGTGCCGAGAACCAGGCAACGTAACAAATTGCTTTCATCGTCCTTGTTAATAACCTGCTGCCGTATTAAATCGAAAAACGAGCTCTTAATCGGAACTGACTATCCCCTGTAGGGGACGTCTCGATTAGATAGCCAAAGTATTGGTGCATTATCTGTTCGCAGGTGTGTGTTAGTTAGATAGTCAGAAGGTGTCTTTCAGTTTGCAGTGTAATTAATCTACTAAAGATTCCCGTTTTAACTTGTTGCTTAATCGGAAATTTCAGTGCACATCGTAACTAACTGGCCGACGGAGTAATGATTAATTAACTAACTAACTAACCATCTACATGGTACCAGAACCTGAAGGCGTGAAACCAGCTTCTGGGTCACTTACATTCATTTTCCTCCTTCATATCTTGTTTCTATAAACCCATCTTAATGCTATAATCTGTTTGTTTTTTATTTTACAGGTTTAAGCTTTCCAAGAAGTTTCTTCATTGAATGTCTGAATACTTCAATTCCTTAATTTCTTTTGTATTATATTATATTATGCCCATTTAAAATACTAGCCTAGAGTCATTGATGAAGGTAATTAAACATTATTTTACTAAATAACAATACAATTTATAGGAGCAGTACTTTCTGTATAAACTAAACGAAATGTGAAAACACCTAACCTCCAAACGACACCATAGACGAGGGTAATTGTCACTTTTGCATATCTTCCTGCCAGAGGCGCCACCGTCCGAACTTAAATTAATTTTATCTGCATCGCATGAAAGGCGCACTCGTCCAGTGAAGCTGATGGACATCCCTGTAATATTTGTACTTTTACTCCTAATATTACAGGACACATCATTCAAATTTGACTCTTGTTAAGGTATTTGAAAGGAGATATAAATTTGTTATTTCATTTCACTATTATTGAATTTCAGATTTTATGTAGTGAGGAACTCCAGCCGTTATGTGCTGCGTCGTATGGAGAAGTCTCTGAACTATTTACTATTTCATACGGATAGTGATCAAATCCACCTATAGATGGGGGTATCGTCGTGCTTAATAATGTGCTGCGCTCTTCTGGTCAATATTCGTAACGAGCAAATACCGTAAACATGGCGGAAGTTAATGTGTAGTTGATATGAGCTCTTTTCTGTGTTTGATGTTTAGTGCAGGATATTGAAAAATATAGTTTATGGTAATACGGAATACGTGCAATTAAGTGTGATGTACAGTTTTATCATATAGTTTCTTTGTGGTTACCAACTTTGAACGAATATAGGCCATGAGAAGTGGACCAACTTGGAGTCTGATTGTTACGGTGTGCCAAGAGAAGGACAAGTGTCAGAATAGCGACCACCTGGCTATTCATGTAGTTGCATTTCCGACCATCGGAGAAATATCGTCGTCAGAGTGTAGGATTTCAGTGGGAGGATCCCGAATCCATCCCAGAAGAAACGAATGCCTCCATTATTGACGTCCATGGAACACACCAAGTCGGCTTACGAGAATAGCAATGGCCGCAGTCGTACTATCAGTACCGCTCAACAAACTAGTAACAGGAGCAGTCCTGTCAAAC